TATAAAATTATTAATAAAGGTCACAAATCTACCTTCATAAATGTTACAGTCATCAATAAAGGTTAAAACTATGAATAAAAATGTCTGCCAAATAAAGTAGCTGGATTAGCTAATCATTACAAAACACCTCCTCTAACATTAGAAGGAGCTCATTAGATGCCGCAATCATCTTTCTTATTCTCGTCAATGTGAGTAATGCTTATCAAGATGACATTTACGAGCCAGAATTAGGTTTAAAGGAAATATAAAGAGCTAAGGACTCTGTCAGCTCTGTGCACCTCCTATAATGTGAAGCTTAGGAGTTAACTATTCTTAGCAAAAGTGACGCATCTATTAAATTTACATAAAAAAAAATCAATTTAATAATTTTATAATGTAGCATTGCATTCAATCTGACAGAACGGGAATAAATGTTTAGAAAAGGAAAATACTGATAGTAATTTAAGACCTGCAAATCGGTTTCATTAAGCAAAAATATAACTATCATATAATTTCCTTCCCTTCCCAAGTGAAGCCATATGTTCCCTTGCAGTTTGGGTTATTAAATGTCTACATTAGTCCTCGTTTGAACTTTCTGCGTTGAGTAATGGCTCCCATTTTGGTTTGACATCGTACCAGAGTAGAAACCACAACCACTTCCCCGTTTACAGCAGCCGTGCTCCAGTGGGGCGGGCTTCTCTGCTGTAAATGGTTTCTATATCTTCTGTACATGTGCCTGTCTTTACAATGTGTCTGTGAACAGCTGCGTGTAGAAGGTCATGCGTTTCTGTGTGCTGGTCAGAACGTGTTGTGTGTCTGCAGTAAATGTATTCTTGTACAGACAACTGACTATAATCTGAACAAATTTATGTCCTGTCTGTGTTTACATTCATGCTACATTAGTGTTTTTGTATAGATATCATGAAACTGGATAAGTTTAATTTCTTGTTTATCTTGCAAGTAGGTTGTGTTGATGGCTTTGTCTGAATGCATCATCGAGAGGACGACATATCTTCTTATTTTTATAGTTCCAGATTCCTGAATGATGAGTTGGATTTGATTAAAGAGTTAGCAATAAGAAAGGTAGACCTCAAGTGACAAACCCCCAAACATTAGGGTTGTATGTTTATGTTGCCATACATATTTTGACGGTTTTGTGTAAATTTGTTTAGTTCCCCATTATTTTGTCTAAAACCATCTCAGTGCTGGCCTCCTTTGGTTGAAGTCTCCTATTTGTTTAAAGTGGTGCAGCTTTGCATCAAACAGCCCTGCGTTCAGGTATTAAACCTTCTCACTCAGACACACACCTCCACCCACTGGTGAGTCAGGAGTTGGACTAGTTGGACGATGCATGGCCGCATGGAGGATTGATCAATGCTGTTACTCAGCTTCTCAAATGTGTGACTTATTTGCAATACGCATCACAATGTGCCACACTTGGCCACGCCTCTCCACATTTCTTGGCTCCGCCCTCTTTTGTGGTTTTTTTTTTTTTTTTTTTTTTTTCTAAATTTGCCAGGGGTATGGTTAAACTATTGAACATTTAGTATATTGTAAAGTGGCTGGGATTAAAGTTGCTAAATGGTGACATTTATGTTTGTGTTGAACATTGTGCCGTTTTGAATAAAGTTCATTACCAATCGGTCTGAGGCCATGGATCTGGACTACATCCTTATGGTGCTGTGGTTGATGAGTCTTTTATAGAAGAGGTGTAGGGCCACTAATTAAGGGAAAAAAATTTGATTTGTTTTCCTCAGAAATTTGACTTTAATCTTCTGACATCAGCGGTCAGAACTCAGAAAAAAATGTGAATTTTGAGATTAAGTCATAATTCTGAGATAAAAAGTTGAAATTCTTTTTTATTCATTCATTTCAGTGGCCCTGATCTTCTTCTGTGATCTCTGCCTCCAGTAGAGTAGCTTAAGTTTCTCAGTGTCTTGTTCATGAGAGATGGCAGATTGGAGCAGGGCACTTACAGATGGGTTGGAGTTAACCTTTGCAGACCTGGGCCAAAATGTGAAGCAACTTCATTTACTGGTCTATCCGTATTCTCAGACATGGCATTCAATCATGACTGAAACTTTTAGATCCAGCATAAGAGATCAGAGGAGGCGGTCTGTCATCTGTGGAGGGTTGGAGCAGACCTGCTGAGTCAGATGTTTAGGCCGTTTGGTCAGGAAGTCTTCTGGGTCATCCCGCCCTTTGAGACGGAGGAGTCAGAGATCTCTTAGTTTCCCTCCTGGATCGTTTGCTCCAAAGGCCTGACGTGACTCATGTTTGATCTTTGGTGTAACAAGTCCAGATGGTGCTAAAGATCCTAATTAGATGATCTACCAACTAGTGAATGTTAAAGGAATAAGAATAAGTTTGTTTGGGAGAAGAAAATGAAGCAATAACATTCTGAGAGGTTTTGGGTTTAATTGTGCTAAACTTTCACTAAGAGTAACTTTAAACTAAACTGTTTCCATGCAAGTTCACGATAGCGTTATGCAGTACTGTTTGGAGTATTAATAAAGTGAAACTTCTAATCATGAAATTAAATATCAAATTTATGATCTGGTCATGGAAACAAGCTTTTTTTTCTATGTTTCAGAAGACACATAGAAAGTTTTAGGAAACACTGGTCTATCCGTTCAGAAAGAAAATACTGTTTTTAACTCCATTATAGTCAAATGTTTTTAATTTAGGCTTATAAATAGGGTTCACGTTAATAAGGTCAGATAAAATAAGTTTATGTCGTTACTATTCCTTACTTTGTATCCTGTGTTTCTGATATAATCTACACAAAAGAAACCCTGAATGATAAAACATAATCATGCAAAGCGTGTGTGTGTGTATGTGTGTGTCTAAGAGAAAACTCCTGACCCTCCTGCGCTGTCGAGTTATCGCCGGCTGGTTCTCCACATCTCACCAGCTGGAACCAATTAACAGCAGTTCACTGAGACTGAGCTCTCTCACTCACTTTCACCCCCAAACACACAGTCATTTTTCTTGTTCACTCCACCCCTGGCTCTTCCTCTCTGCCCCTCGACAGTCCTGGACTCCTCCTTCAACCCGTGCAAGTTGTTTTCCCTTTAAACCTCCAGCTGCAGGCTCACTCGAACGAATGTCCGACTCAGAGAACAACCAGGTAAACATTCACATGGAGAAAAGGATAAACCAGCAGGAATTAGACTTATTTTATTGTCAGTGCGCAAAGACACAACAGAAATGAAATGTCATCCTTGACCACTGGAGCACACACAAAAAAGTTATTAGCTTACAGCATAACTTTTTTTCTACAGGATTTAACAATGAAAGCTGTAGCCAGGTGGACAAGTCCAATCCAATCACCTTAAAGAAGCAACTGCTGCTGCCCATCAATCTGAGAAGGGTTGCAGTGCCAAATCCTTCATTCGACTGCAGGGATTCTCTGCTTGTGGCTGTGGGGGCCGTCTGTGACTCTTTCGATCTTCAACCGATTTTAAAAACTTACCTAAAATGATGAGGGATGCTTTTTTTGTTTTTTCAACCTTAATGCAATGTCTGCATTGAAGTTTCACAGCATATTGACACAAATAGTGTAACTGAATATTTATTTATTCTGCTGGGTTCTACGCTTAGTTTTTTTTATTTGAGTAAATTATGTCAACTTATTTAAGTATTTTTGGTAAATAATGAAGGGTATCTTGATAAGAATATTAAGTTGTACTAAACATTTTCTTTGAAAAATAGGAATGAACTGAAACACTTTAATTTTCAGTATAAAAACACATCTTAATGTATCTATTTAAAAACTTTACGCTATACTCTTTGCAGCTTATATTCAGAAGAAGTTGGCACAAAAATGTTTTTTTGCATTGCACATTTTACTGACCACTCTTCTACAGATTATTTGCCATTCACAATTGTGAAATATTTAAGACACCTGCCAGTCTTCCCCGGAGAACGAAACGCCCTGAAAAAACGTACAGCTCCAAACCAGAGTCAGATAAAATAACATGCTAATGAACTCCTTAATTAGCATGTTAAAGGTACAATCAGTGATAGGATTTAAGTTTGGAGGGGTCAACAGAAGACCGCTGCTTCTCTCTAAAAAGCTTACGAAAACATAACCAGTGCACCCCAATAAACCGTCAGACATCTGGAACAGCAGCCTCTGGACATATGAGAACAAAGTAGAAATATTTGGTCACAACGTATACGAGTAAATATGTTTGGAGGGAAAAAAAAAAAAAAATCAGCATGTTCATGCATATACCTCATACTAACTGCATAGCACAATGGTTTGATGATCTGTGCTTGTTCTGCAGCCACAGCGTTTATTTACCCAGCCATGAACTCCTTCGTATACCAAAAATGTGCGGAAGCCATCTGTCTAACAGCTGAAGCTGAAGCTAGACCCAAACTGGGTCATTAGCAGGACAATGGTCCCAAACATAGCAAAAAACCTACAACAGAGTTCCTGCAAAAGAAAACAGACAAGATGTCGCAACCGACCAAAGTCCAGATTTGGATATGATTGAACTCCTGAGGTTGAACCAGAAAAGACATGCGAGGAAACAAATGTCAGCAGAACCTGAGTGTGATGAAGAGCATGCCAGGTGCTTCTGTAAGCAGGTTGCATTTAATTTGTCTTTATGATTGTACAATACAACAGTTCAGAAATAAACTTGTGATTCTTGTCACAAGTGACAACATCCATATCTGGGTTTAATCTGTGGCCAATCTCACACTTCTTCTTCGTCCTGAATATAAATAGATCATCGGATCTATTTATATTCAGGATGACTGTTTGTTTTTGCATATTGCTCTGAGGCGATCAAACATCTTGCATGCGGTGGCTGTGGATTTAAAGCTGTGTGTCGGACACACTCATGGATTGTGGTGTGAATCAGCTCCCTGTTGCACAGTAAACACTTACAGCCATGTGGTTTAAGTTTACAGTGGCTGCTATCCAGAGGATCAGGCGGGAGCGCACAGAGCAAAACATCTGTTAAGACACACACATGCTGAACGGCTGAAACGAGAAGCAAACTTACCTGTTTCACAATCTGGTTGAGAAGTTCACTGCTTGGAGACAAATCCAGAGCGTCCGTCAGAATATCTCATTCTACTTTAGAGGTGTGAAAGAGAAGAACACTGCTTCAGATGTTGTCCAACAAGCTGACGGAGGTTGCAGAGGAGCGGGCTCTCTGAAGGGAAAACACAACCCTCCGTCTGAGAAACAAGCAGAAACAACAGCTCCAGCGGTTGGCTTCGTTTTCCCCCCTCTTCAGCACCTAGCGGAGCTCAAACACACTTGTACACTCGGTGCGTTTAGGTCATGCTCAAAGTATGTTGTGCAAGCTCAGGGAAACCACATCCTGTCACATATTTACCTCCCTCTTGTCTCTCTCTCTCTCTCTCCCTCTCTGCAGCCTATCTCTCTGTGGTGTTCTACCTCTTTTTCCTGTGCACTCGTCTCTCTCTGCCCTGTGATTGTCTGAAGCAAACTGAGCGCTCTGACCCGGCGTCTGCTCTGAGCAGCCTCTCTCTGCGTCTGTCTCTCTGGCAGCCGCTCTGGTTCCACACGACTGACTGAAGAATCCATCTGAGGAGAGGGAAGGGGAAGGAGGAGGGGGATGACAGGGAGGCTGGCAGGAGGAGGAGGAAAGGCGGGGGGCTTTATGTGGGAAATACCAGAGTCAGAGGAAGGGAAGAACAGCGGGGAGGTTGGCCGGTGTTGTTTCGGGAGTGAAGGACTTAAGAAAAGGTGGGCAGATCAATAATTTGTTAGGGAGAAAGATGTGAAGTCGATAATGGTGTGGCTGAAGACGTTCATGTTGCGCTGAAATCTATTTTATTCTGTTTTTGTCTTTGTCACGCTTAACATTTCTCTGATCAAACAAATTTTAATATATCAAACAAACACGACTAACTACAAATTTCAGTTTCAAGTTCAAGCAATCATTACATTTTTATTTTAAATAAAAGCAACTTCCTAAATTATCGTCCTCCTGTGAGGAAAAAGTAATTACCCCCTGAACATAATCACGGCCTTGGCTACCACTGGTGACAACAGCGGCTGTGAAGTGTTTGTGAAAACCAGCAGTGAGTCTTTTACATTACTCTGGATGAATTCTGGCTCACTATTCTTTGTCGGGTTTCAAGCGTGAGCTTTCTCTTTAAGGTCATGCCACTGTGTCAAAATTGGTGGCCTAGTCAAAGACTGGATTTTGAGTTCTAATTAGATGTTTCTATGGGTTCTTTGTGGTCTTCTAGAATAACTAATATTTTCAGTCGACCGGTCATTAATCGGAAGGTTCTGCAGTCATTACCGGTCTGGGTTAATGGCTTCCTCTGTGGTTTGCTGAGGTTTCAAACCTCAGAAACAACTTAAACCCTTTCAAAGATGCATATCTGATTTTTAATGGCTTTATTCTGGGGCATAATGTGTTTTTCTTTGAGCTCTTTTAACCGACTTCATGTTGGCGATTAGGTCCTATTTAAGAGATTGAACCAAAGTATGTGGCTCGTCACACTTTAAACATGGCTTAGCTAATGATCAGTTTTTACATAGGGCTAGGCTGGATTGAAGTTATTTTTTGGCTTAGTAAATTAAACCATTTGAAATCTGCAATTTGTATTCTACTTTGATATTGAAGTTCTTTGGGTTTTTGTTGATGTGAAATATCTTAATGCGACAAAAAATCAAAACTCAGATGAAATCAGTAAGGGGACTGGTCTTTTTCTTATCTTGTCTCAGTAGTGGCCATGCATGTTCAGGAAATACAGTAAAACTGACCAAGCATTTAAAAACACAGTGTGTGTCTAAAGCAGCAACAGCGGGCATTTGAGCAACAGAAGAAAACAGATTTTTCTTCTTCCATAGATGAGACATGGTTTGGCAGCACTATGAGGCAGGGGGGACATAATGTTATGCCTCACCAGTGAGTTAATCGCAAATAGTAGCAATTAAAGCACAAAACAGCACCAGCTTTAGTGCATGACTTACTTTAACCAAAAATGACAGCAACAGTGATTCACGTTAGTTAAAAAGACGCATCTGTATTGCCTGAGAAAGGATTTCAACTGTGCAACTTCGGTTAATGGTCCAGGTTGCAGGTTTATACCCTGATAAACCCATCAAGGTATAAAAACATTACGTAAAATCATTTGGATACCAAACAGCGTGAAAAGTTCATTCTGGGTTCAGTGAAGCTTAAAGCAGAGAGGTGAACAAAGAAATGAATACATCAAATACGCTGACAGACGATGTTGTGCATCCACATGTTTCTTCAGATTTAAAGGAGGTGCAAACAGGCCAATTAACACCAGAGTGTGTTTCTGCTGCCCCCTAATGGACCAAAACAAACATCCGCAGGTTCCACGTTCAATGCAAATGGACACAAATAACAGCAGGATGATAATGAGGAATCAGCAGGGGAGGTCTGATGATGCTTCCCTTCACGTCTGACAAACAAAGAGATTACCTGGGACTCGTAGATCCTGAAAGGTACGAAGAAAAAGGTTGGATCCAGTTAAAAGCAGCTAAAAATAAAATGTAATTCTTAAAATGTTATATAATTTTTATATAATTCCCAGTTTGTTTGTTTTTCTGAAGTTTTTCTTTCATAACATGGTTATTAAATGTATAAACCTGAAATATTTCCACTCCAAGAACTGTAAAATGTTTCACCCAAAATTAGGAAAACTGTTTGCTTATCCATGTCACAGACAAGATAAAACCAATTAAACAAAACTCATAAAGAACAGATTGTATATTCATGTTGTTTACCTGGTGATACAGATTCTGTCATTACCACGATGTTGTGCTGCAGAGTGAGGATCGATTTTTAGTGACGTATTCCTCGAGCTTCACAATGATAAAAAATAAATAAATAAGAAGCGCTCATGTTCATCTGCCTGCCAAAAATTTCAGAATAATATTTGGAGATTTTGCTGTTTTTAAAAAAATTTGCTTTTTTACTTTACTACTATTAAATATTTATTAAGCCAGATAAAAGACCAATCAAGCAGAACGTCAAAGTGAACGAGATGAATAGACAACAAAAACATTAAAAATAAAGAAAACACAAAAAATTTGACAAGAGTTGTTACAGTAACAATTTAAAAGAGTAAAAAATGTACGATTTAAAACTCTGAACATTTTCTGTTGTGGGATCCTTAATATTTATTGAAGTCACTTTTGACTTTCAGTTGAGACTGGAGGGTAGAGGAGGGAGAGAAACTTACACTTTTCTCCTGTTTCCACTTGAACCAGAGAAACGGATAAATACAAAATGCCTTTCAACTGTAAGGCATGATAACATTTTTTTCAGAAAAATGCATGAATAAATAAGAACCAAACCGAGAGCAGTCAAAGACTGTAAGCATCTGGTTGAAGCAAAAACAAACAAAAACAAAAAAACGTCATACTGGCCTGACATACCTTCAAATATTGGTTACAAAGGACTAATTTAAAAAAACATTCAGCTTTTGTTGTTTTTATTTACATTTACATTTATGCATAAATCTTTGAGGGCAACATGAATACCTCATTGAATGTAGAAGAAAGTCTAAATTTGGCATTTGGATTCAGTTTTAAATTACAATGTAAGCTCTATCAGGATTTCAATGTTGCACTTTCATCAAGGAGCTTCATTTCTAGATTTTTAAATTAAAGCTGTATCTTGATTGTACTTTGTCCATTTGATCTGCAACTTATATTCAGTTTTAAAAAGAAACCGAGTGAAAAGAGATCGATATTTCATTTTTTTATCAAAAGTACATTTCCTTGGATTCCCACATGAATTAAAACTTGGTTATTCATGGAGGCCTCTAAACAGAGATCTTTTAAATAGAAACACTGAAAAGCACTGGCAACTTTAACTCAAGGATATTTAGAAGGTTATGGATGAATACTGCAGCTTAGAAAGCAGAGTACAGTAAAATAACCTGGTGAAACTGGAAAATAGGATATGTCTTATTAAAGCTAAATTTTAATGAGAGGTACATTTTGTCCTTTTGTGGCCAAAGCATAATAGAGATTTACTTCTTTGAAGCTAAATTTGTCCTTCTTGTAGTTGTTTTGGTAATTAAATTTTAAATAATACAATAAATATTACAAAAATTACTTTTGAAAGTACTGCAGTACGGTTTTTAGATTTTACTTTTCTTTTTTTTCTTTTTTTTACATATTACATATTACTTTTCAGACATTTGAAACAGCTTTTCATCAACAAAATTTTAATGTCAAAGACGACCTTAGTTAATAAAAAATTCAGTTTCCTTTCTTCACCCAAACGCTTGCTTTTCTTCTCTGCCCTTGGTAACATCATCTCCTCCAATTTGTTGCCTGAATCAGCTGTAGCTTGTTAGTTAATAAAGCAATAATCAAATAAAATGTGCAGTAATTCCCTCCTTCAGTTCTGTCTAACTTGATCTCCTTTCAGAATGAGTCGTTTTAGGCTCTACTGTCACATTAAATCCACATAAGTTTTGCAGGCCACGCCTCCAACTCAACCTGTGCACTCCCATTGCTGCAAGCAGATGCCCAATATACAACCATACGTCTTTGAAAAATAGAAGTGGAGCCTCCTGCACAAACAAACAAAAACACAGTAAGTGGTTTCTGAATGGTAAGTGAACAACAAAACACTTGTCTTTTCCAGCAGCCATTGTACAGCGCACACAGTGGTAAAACCAGCTGACCAATCTCAGCCTGGGTTGCTAGGCAACAGGCTGGGCTTCGCTGGGTTTGCTAGGTGAGGCACAGTGTCTGCTGATTTGTGATGCTACACTTTAGAGGTTTTTGAAACAGCTCATTTTCTAGACACCAAAACACACCAACTTATTACCAAAAACCTGCTGGGTGTTTTTTTTTTTTTTTTTTTTTTTTTTTTTTTTATGTTTTTTTTTTTTTTATAAAACACAGAAAAAAAAAATCAAAAAAAAAAAAAACAAAAAATAAATTTT